AGCTACCTTCTAACAGAACACGATGGCACATTGCATGCAAGAAGAAATTACCCTTCTAATGACCCCTATATCAATTATCATGTCATACAAATGAGAACTAAGTTGAAGGGCAATGTCTCTTAGTTTTTGCATTAATATTTGACCAATTGTACGTTTAAACTGTTATAGGAGGAAATTTCAGACACCTTGTTGAAATTCAGCTTTTTGTAAATTTTTTAATCGCTAAATGATCTTATTAGCGGTAATAAACCATCACTCGGTCACGTTTCGGATGTTGTTTTTCATCATAGTTGTTTAGCTTTAGTTTCTATACCAAAGTTTTTCAACCTTACTACGGTTAGATGTTACCGCTCGACAGGGAAGGCTTACTCATTTTCGACACTTGATTTTAGCTTTGGAATTTTCTGACATAGGATGCTTGTTTTGTGTCATGTTCCAAGTATTATCAAAATATCAAATTCAGAGTAACTGAATGTAGAGTCAAATGATTTTTATCATAGGAATTTGGTCATGGTCTAATATGTAGAATGTATAAATTTAATATCTATGAACATTTATAAACATTCAAAGAATAGTCAACGAAATACATGTAGATATCGTTGTATAAAACATGTTTTATCAACAAATTTTGTTGCCCACGAATACTGTTCCTCATCTCCAAATGTTTTAAACATTAGATTTCAACATGTAACTAATTATTCCTTGCATCATAAATTACATACATATTTTAGTTTAGTGAAATATGTAAATTAAACTACAAAAGAAATTAAAGATGATTCAATTTATGATGCAAGGAATAATTAGTTACATGTTGAAATCTAATGTTTAAAACATATGGAGATGAGGAACAATATTCGAGATAAAAAGTCCATAAACAATACAGAATAGTAGCAGAGCAAACATGGACCCCAAAAATCAGAGGTGGGATCGGGTGCTATAGAGGAGTGAACATCCCCTGCCAACCGGTCAGACCCGCTGTGTGCTCCTTGTCATTACCGGTAAATCCGTCGTCAAGTCAGTGTATAAATAATGGACTAATAATATGTATAAAAACCGTCAGTCAGCTCAATGATAAATTATGCTTAATTATGCATAAATTATTGAACATAGAAGGCACGAAATGATGACCTTAAAGAGACTGCTGGTATTTTTTCCCCATAAACTTGTTTTTTAATAATTTGCCTTGTTTTAGAAATTGTTCGTACGAAGAGAATGATATTGTGTATCGAATCAACTGAGATATGTAAACCATCTATACAGATGATGGAGGGATATTGCTGCATAAGTAAGGGAAGTTGACATGTCGACTAGCTGTGATGTCATGTGACGTAAAGGAGCTCGTCGGAGCTTACGGAGACGGCCGAGTGTCTTGTTAAAACTATAGACCTAGTTAGGCTAGTTCAAAATTTGACGAAAGACATTGTATAGTATTTTCTTGTTGTTTCTAATATTTCTGCAAACCGAAAGCCTTTTATTTTTTTTATTTATTCATTCGCCATCATCGCATGGAATCCTGTTAGCTTAGGAATTCTGGGAAGTTTTACACAAAAATTTGCCTGACGTACATGTATATACATGTACAGATTGCATTCCGAATTTTCTCTGCTCTTACACGTTAGTCTTTTGAGCTCGCCTCATATGCATTGCAACACTCGCTGCGCTTGCTTAATATGTTCTTTTTGTTTTAGGAAAATAGACCCCTTTTGTCCTGAGCGCAATCATATAACGCTTCCTATTCCTGAAATGGTTACAACAAATATTCTTCTTTATTTACCACATGAGTCGATCATGTGACACTTTGCAATTACAGCTTTAAATATACAAGCATTCTGTTTAAGCATCAAAAACACCCTTGTTTTTTCTGAAGACAGGATAAAAGAATCATTCAATATGGCAACAGTAATCAGGATAATAATGTTTCTTTCAATGGGGCACCTGTCCTTGGGTAGGTAAAATACGGTGATATTGTTACTTAATTTTCAAGCTACAAATTGAAAAGTTGATAGCAGTTGAAAATTCATCATGTCTATTATAAAGCTTTTTCTTAAATTACCACTTCATGTCAAAATCCCTAAAAACTAATACGAGGGTTGATCCAAAAGTAATCATTATGTCACAGTCTCCATATCTATTGTATTTGGTGTCATATTTTTAAATACAATATACCAAAATAAGCACATATATAAATATAATTAACATTGAAACTTTTGTCTAATAAAGTTAATATTGTTTTAAAGCAACTATTTTCACTTGATTAATAAAATTAAACAAATTTTAGAAAGAACAGGCTTACAAAATGTAATTACAATTTTATAGAACTGATTTTTTAACCGATTTTGAAATTGATATGTAGGTTGACGTCGTTATAGTGTGTTTTTGACGTTATGTTAAACTGCAGCTCTTAAGAAATGGATAATAATGTTATTGAAGAAAAAGTAATTAACATACGCTCTTGAAATTTAAAATATAAAAATTTAAGAATATCTCCAATATTTTTATCATGCTTTCATAGAAATCTCTTGTGTATATTTTGTAGAACATTTTTTTTTTTGCATTTTGAGATGCCCCCTCTGGTAACAAGACGGTAGAATTTTGTGTATCTTACATATAATGTACAATATAGTATTACTCATCATACATAATAGTTTTAACAAAAAGTCTATTGTAATATTTGTATAATTTGCTTTAAAGTGCTAAAAATTGGCTTTTTCCTATATATAATCCTATTGTAAATGTACATGTATTTTGAGACCTGTCCCTTAAGACTACCTGGACGGTAGATTTTTCCCAAACTTGGCATGTACGCTGAAGTTAATGTAAGTTATATATTGTATAAAAATGAAGAGTTTCGCTATTGTAGTTTTCACACAATAAAACCACAGACGGCCCCCTTAAATCAAATTAGTTTTATAGATGTTTAAAACATCGGGCATAGGGGGTGTCACCGTGTCACATCTAAACGTCATGTTTTAAAGAACATTTTTTTAGGATGAGAAAGACAAACATATTAAAAAACATTTCAAGCGTGTCTTATCACCCAGAAATTTTAAAATTACTTCTAAAATACAATTCAGACAAAGACAATGTTGTTACCCGTACCTGCTTTTTCAGCAGGAGCCAGTGACCAGTCGGTAGATCATGAAAGATATCTAATTTTTCTTGAGTGAGAGAGGTACATGAACCTAGTTTAGCAAAAATATTTGAGGTTTGGATAAAATTAAATTGTGTTAATTAGCCTTCAATCATAATATTGTTAATTAGCCATGAAATCAGTATTTTTTAACATCAAATATTCTGTGTATTTTATAACAGAAGGATATCTTTAATACGAATCTAATCTTACATAACTAAAACCGATAGGTAAGGACATCAGCTTTTATAAATATTTAATTAAAAATTTGAATTAAAAAAATAAATCATTTTGTAGCAATATATCTGAATGAAATGAAAAAAAATATATAGGGTGATTCATAAGAAATATTTTGAATATTTGTTTTACTTTGCTTGGATCTTGTGAAGTTCATTTTGTGTTACGGTTTAAGACATACTTAAGTAAAACTTAGACAGGGTCTGAAATTGTGCCTAAAATATACTTATGACACTATGTAAGTCAAAAACTTAGCAAGCTTTATGGTTCAAGCCCCTGGGATTCGTAACATAAAGCTTTCTAAGTTTTTGACTTAGATAGGGTCGTAAATACGTTTTAAACACAATCTTAGAACCTACCTTAGTACTACTTAAGTACTTCTTAAACCGTATCATAATGAAAGCAATTTTAGCTAAGTCTTAGCTAAGTCAAACTTTACATGTTCAAAGTATTTCTCATGAATCACCCTATTGTTTTCATTTTATTTATGTATTTTTGCTAAAAATAATTCAGTTAGGTATTTAATTAACCCAATATTACAGTTTCCTTATCTATCGGTTTCAGTTAAGTTAGATTAGAGTTTGTGTTAAAAGTATAATTTTCTTATAAATTACATGTATTCTGAATATTTGAAAACAAATACTGCAAGCACGGTCACAAAATGGCAAGAAGTGGTTCAATGTAGATACATTGCTATTGTTTATCACTCAATTGTGCGATGTTTTCAGTTTACCGTTTGCTGCTCTTTTGACAAATGGTCACTTGCATGTTGTGTTTTTCTAGCAGACATTTCAAGAGAATGAAAGGTTTATCTTCTTGAAATCGAAACTCTAAAAAGTACAAAACATTTTGAATTTTTTCCCATGTCAGCAAGCAAAGACAGACGTTTTAAGATATATTGGCTACTCATTTACAATTTGATCAAGGATGGGAGAAATGTTTTTCCCGATCTTTCAATAGGCCAAATTCTTTTTTTAAAGGGTATAATGGAAATAAGAACAATATCAAGTGAAAAATGAGTGATAACTGTGTTCTAAATTTGATTTTTCTTAAAGGAACGAATATATAATCTAAAAAAGAGAGAGAAAGACAAAGGGGAAATAAGAAAACAGGAAAGCTTGGTTAACAATAAACGGCGAAAAAGAGAAAATAATTTTTAAGAATTTTAAAAATAAAATTGAATGTTTTGATAGCTTAAAGTGCTTGAAATAACCAAGTAATGATATATTACAACACTTTTTGAAATCACATTTTTCTTTTGATCCATTCGAGTTGCTGTTGGAGTAATTTTTATGAAAAATGTATTCTTGAAAAATAAGATATTTCTTTCGTAAGAGAGGCATTTCAAGTTATGGGTAAAGAAAATGTTTTATTATAACTTTTGAGATAAAAAAAATAACTGTATTAATTTATTATACTAATGTTCTGTTAAATGATAAACACGGCTTTACAGGACTTTCCGAAGAAGGGATAATATTTAAATAGGTTTCTATTGATGCATTAGATGGCCATTTTATTCATGATAATTAATCAAATCAGTTTTCTTTCCCTTTTATAATGTATATTGCTCATTTAAAATAGTACAAAACCGTATTTAAATGCAGATATTCAATCAAAGCAGTTTTGGCTGTAAATGGGTGTCGAAAATTTCTTTCTATGCTCTATACTAGGACAGCGGGAGTGCAAAATGACAACACTGGGTCTGGAGTATTTTGGAAACGTGGATCAAACGTTGTCTGGGAAAGAATGTCAAGCCTGGGTCTCGCAGTTTCCCCATAAGCATAAGTTTAACAATACCTTAAAGAACAGTAGGAATTACTGCAGAAACCCTGACAGAGAACCACAGGGCCCTTGGTGTTACACTACGGACGAGGAGAAAAGATGGGAATACTGTGGAATACCACTATGTCCTAAGTTATACATGCTTTGTTATGTTGTTTAACGTTTCACTGAGAATTTCACTTATTCAGAAACGTCATCTGCTGTTAAGATCTTGTTTAAATGTTCCTTACTCTCGCAGCAGTGAGGAATATTAAAAGTTTCATCCCAAAGATCTGCAACTGTCATTCAAAGTGCTGGACTCTTAATAAGAAACAGTCGCAAAATGTTCCTTGTGTTCAGCGTTTTAGCCTTGTCGCAGCACATATGGACAGGGATCAGACTCAAGACCTCCCAATTAAGACCTCAACCACCAAGCTACAGCAATTGTGAACATGTACATACTAAGAGATATTGTTGTTCTTCCTATTTTATTTCTTTTATTCAGCCATTACAGATGATGACTGTTATGAAAAGGGAAAAGGATTTATGTACACGGGACAAATTGCTACCACAGAGACTGGTTACGCATGCCGGCATTGGGATTCAGAAGAGGCTTATGCAGTTTTTGGAGAGTTAGAAAATTATTGCAGATCCCCGGATGGAGCAAAATTTCCCTGGTGTTTGTCTACAGCTCCCGGTAAAAGATGGGGAAAATGCAACATACTTATTTGTGGTGAGCAGTGATTATGTAATCTAGAGCTGTAAACATATCAGGAGACAGATATATTTTCCAAAAAACATCTTAACGTATTAATGCCTCAAGACATTCATCTTTTTAATTGAAGATGGATGAGGCACAAAACATTGAATTTAAAATTTCTTAAAGCAATCTCACTACATTCATTTCAGAGAGAGGAGAGATATTTTCTTCAATTATTCTGAGTAGATTGCATTTTACTTTTTATAAAAAATGCTATTTATTTAAAATTCTGTACCTCACATTTTTTGACGAAACGCATAATTCTAAACCGGTAGTTAAAACAATATACATGATTTTGCTGTAAATGTCATCTGATGCTTGACATGATTATTTTACAAATTTTTTGATTGTATTTTAAGCATTGGTAGGATTCTAATTAAATATATGAAGGTAACGAACAGTATGCAAGCTCAGAATTCCATTAAACAAGACAAAATATAGGAGCAGGGCAATGCGGATCTCCAAAACTTAGGTACGATCAGTTTGAAAAATTATATTTGCTGACAAGGTCATTGTATCGACCATAAAGCTTAAAAAATGATGACTTTAAACGAGACTGAAGATATTCTCGTTTCATCAGTTTGTTTGTCAATAACTTACTTCCATTAATAAATGTTCACACATAGAGCATGCTTTTGTGTATCAATTCGACAGAGAGATATAAACCCCGTATGACGGTGATGAATGTATATTCTGCATAAGTAAGGGAAGTTGACAAATAAGAATAAGAATGTAGCTTTTTGTCTTGTTTTTGTTTTCCACTTTATTGTATACTTTTCAATTTATACCAGGGCAATCAACGACAAATAAACCAAATAACTCAACAACTTCACCCTTAACCCTCACATCGTTAACATCACAAGAAAAGTTCGAAACTAATCCAGCAATTAAGGGTAAGGTTACGGTAAAATGTTAAGTGCGGAAGTGTAATGGTACTGCCTCATCTGGAATAAAAAAATTTAAAACTGAAACAACTAACTTAAAAGTTATAAAACATCCAACATGGAATTTAAAAAAGTTAAGTTAATAGAATTAACAATAAAAAAAATTATTACCTGACACTACTATTCTTACAAAAATTAAAAGAATTAGTGAATTAAAATAAAAAAAAAGAATGCTTAAAGCTTGCTTTGTCCCAAAGTTTAGTCATTAATAATTTGTTTTATTGTAACACTTTAATATTTCTTAGTCTTTATTTTCTGCTTCTAGGTCGTGTTGTGAGCAGCGACAACAGAAGCTTAAACGCCGATTTATTCATTGCAGTGTTTACCATGCTATTTTCTTTAATGATCACATTGCCGTTATTCTAAACTGAAAATCACCAACCAGATCACCGACAGATAAAAAAAACTTAGTCACGGTAGATAACAAATGTGTTACAGGATTATCCAATGAGCAGTGTATAGTAGAAAGCCGCACTTAGTGTGGAATTGTGATGAATTGTGATGAATAGAATATAGAGCTATCATGTATTTAGTTTACAATGTCAATACTTTTATAATAAGCTTACCATATATAGCCATACTTATAGAGCGTTCTTATTTTCTGTTTTTCTGAATTACGTAGCATATGATATTTATGATAACAAAGAGAATGTTGTACTAATCCTTGCCTGACCGCTTCATGCGAAGTGAAGTAGACTTTGAGAAGCCACTTCATTCATGTACACATTAAGGACCTTAGTTATGTGATCTCCAGTTTCATAAAATTGTTCTTTTAAGTTTAAGATACTTTCTTGTGAGTGTCATGCCACATTTAGTATAGCTGTCACGTCAGAAGTACTTAGCTGTTGATTTTGCTGTTGAACTGTAAGTCCTCTTTTGAATTTTAGATGCAGATTGCAATGTTCACAAAATGATTGATTAAAATTGTGTTAAAACTCAAGAATTCTGAATGAAAACAATAATTTTTATTGTAGAATCTAGAACCATCACGTTGCCAGCAGTAACATCGAGCTGATAAAGTTATAAAAGAAATTTGAACACGAAAGGAATTGATCCTGGGTCGCCAGCACGAAAATCCAACTCGCTAACCATTACTTTAATGGGACCACTGATGAAAAAATATATGTATATACTTCTGCAGTACATCTGTCTTTGTATTATGAAAGAAGGGTCAGTATTCGTAATTTCGCATTTAACGTCACGAGTAAATCTTCGTGCCTTTCCTTTGGATTGTTATATTGAATAAGTGTGTTAGCTTCAATGAAATTAAAAAAGAACGTTCTTATAGTCTAAATTTCGAGGTTTTAAAAAAGTATATTTTACACATTTTACACATTACATTTCGTATACATGTATAGGCAAGTAACACAAAAGCAGTGAAGCGGCTATGAATTTTTAACTTTTTTAATTTACTGTTTATCTCCAAAGTAGACTCTCCCGATTAGTTACACTTTCGTAAAAAGGTTTGGAATCTTTCGCCGAAAAACATGCCTCACTCTACGACGGTCAATGAATCAGATACTACTTATACTCAATACCTTGCATCAGATCTTTGAGAAAAAAAATGTTGAAATAAACTCCATTTAACGATCTTTAAAGAATGATTTCTTACTTTTGTCTACTCTTTTATTTTAATATGACACAAGTATACATAGGAAAAACAGTTGTCACGTTTTATACTTGCTATATATGTATTGTTTCTGGAAAAAACTATTATACATATAATAACTTATAACCACGATTTCCGAAGTACAAAACAAAAGGTAGTAACCGGTAGATATCGTATTTCACTTGTACATGTAGTCTTTTCTTTTCCTTCTTTGAGAACCAGCCAAAATCAATTATAGAAGACCTTTGAGAAGACTTTATATTAAAACTTTAGTCTGATAGGATTGCAATGTAACTACGATGTGACAATCAAAGTAGTCCTTCACATTTCATTTATCCGTGTGTTAGTTTTGTTCAACTAAACGCTCAGCTGTTGCTTAATTAGCCCCTTCATGGTAACTGCGGTACTACTTTTTTGCAGGGCAAAATAATAACGTTTGCCGAAGTTTTTGTTGACATATAATTAAATGACGTATATAAGACAATTAACTTTACGTCATATTACACCAAAATATACCATTTTGCCCTGCAAAAGAGTAGTAACGCAGTTATCGTGAAAGGGTCTATAAAGAAAATAAAATAAATTGGAATAGCAACCTCTGTCAGTAGTATCATCTTTACAACTAATATCTGGTTATTTTATAAAAAAAAACTGTATAAAACATTTGATTTAACTTTTAACATAATTATTGTATAAAACTAATGCGAGGAGTGCATTAAATCTTTAAAATTTCCAGACAGATGAAAAGCATCATACATTCAAGTAAAATAAACAAGAAATCAATAAAAAAGATAGGAAATTATGGAAATTCAAAAGGTGGGTGCTGCCAAGAGGGAGAAAACATCCCATGTAAACCAGTCAGATCCTCCACAAGCTCTATGTATTTATGATCTAATAGATGAGACAACATTCCGTAGTCACATCCAGAATAAAAATGAAAGTCTAACAATCAGTATAATTGGATAAGTCAGCAAAAAAAAAAAAACAAAAACAAAAACAAAAAACAAAATTATAGGACTAAATGATAATCATGTTTGCTTACAAGGTCATTAATACTAACTTTTCAAGATTTTACCAAATACAAACTTCAATCAAGAGTGTTAAATACTAGTAACATTCAAGTATGGTTGAGTACTAGGAATGTTAAAACATTACGCGGACTTGTTGCACAGAATATAATATTTTACGAATATAAATATTAAACTGATAGGACAGACTCTTTAATATCCTTAATTTTAGTTTACTTGGTTATACGAGGGTTGTCCGTTAAGTTCGTGGACAAATTTGAAAATTACTGGCAAACATACATTAAAAAAATTTATGAAACTATTACTTTGATAAAATTAATGTATATTTTATCAATATGCAAGTTAAAAAAAAAACAAAGCACAAATAGTTATATTTTAATATATAAGATACAACAAAGAGTCACACTCATACATGGTGCACTAAAACGAAAATTCTTGACGTCACCCGACGTCATAAGCTTAATAGTGCATCTTTTCTTAACATATTCACCGTTTAATTTAAATATATTACAATATATTTCTTATGTTGCTTTAACTTGTCATAAAAATGTGCACAAACTGTTCAGGTTTCATACATAAAATAATATTTGACAATGCCTGTCTCATATCCTGCAAATAATCAAACTTCTGTTTGCGTTAAAACGGTTTTATTTACGGAAATACGAGAGTCACGTTACGTAATTTATTTTTTACAGTACTACAATTTCGGAATGGTGTCTTTCCTTTACGCATGCCATTCTGTATATATAAACTGTACCCTCCATCCGAAAATATAACATGCGACTTCAATACTAAAGAAAGGCTTCCTATACTATGTTTACCCGATTGTTTAAAGAATTAATGGGTCACTGTTTGTATTTTCCGATATCTACGAAGAATTTTATCACTGCTCTCTGCTCCACCTTTTGCGAAAGCATCATTTATTAATAATACCGATAATGTCTTAATAAGTTCTAGATCTAAACTAGATTCCTCAGCTATTTATTACGAAACGTTGAGCTTTCAAATTTTGCAGGTTTGACGTTCTAATTTCTGTCAACATCATAATGTAAGGTCATCCACATTTCCGCAGAATTTTACAATATATATATATATATATATATATATATATATATATATATATATATATATATATATATATATATATATATATATATATATATATATATATATATATATATATATGAAATCTATAAAGTGATAAATAACTTTTAAAATAAAATTTTGCGGTGCTCTGGGTCACCATTCTAAGTATAATTATATGGAGCCATAATAAATATACATTTGAAATTGAATAATAATTTTATATTATTATACCCCCCGCTTGAAAAGTGGGAGGGTATACTGTAATCGATATGTCTGTCCGTCCGTCCGTCTAGCTGTACGTCCGTCGTCCGTCCGTCTGTTACGCTTTGGGGTACCCATCTCTTATCCGCAACTCCTCTCATACCAATGAAGGAAATTTAATGAAACTTTCACAGAATGTTTATTACATTTTGCCATTGTGCACCTCCTATTTTACTTTTTGATCCGACACATATTTTGGTTTTCTCGGCCACAGCAAAACATGGATTTTGCCATTATAACCATATTGGAGGCGGGGGTATCATTTAGTGAGCTCATTGCTCACAGTACCTCTAGTTTAATTCATATTTAGTAATAAAAGGTAAACAATATGCTTATAATAAATATCAATGACACAACATCATAAACATGCATCCAATAAGCCAAACATTTTAAAATATTTTGTAGACTTTTAAATTTTGTAAAAAAAAATGAATTTTTTTAGAACTCATATTTGATTTTACCATTATAGCCTTTAGAATACGCTGTAAGTAAAAGTAATCCATTTTTCATGAGAAATATGGATAGAGGATATTTATTAATCATATTATATAAATATTATTTTTGATAATATTTAAAATTAACACTATATTACGTGTACTTAAAAAATAGAAATGAATGTTCGTTGTATTTGCGGTTGATATTTGTACCCCCGCTTGAAATGCGTGAGGGTATATAGAAATCAGTATGTCCGTCCGTCCATCTGTCTGTTACACTTTGGGGTACCCATCTCTTATCCGCAACTCCTCTTATACCATTGAGTGAAATTTAATGAAACTTTCACACAATCTTTATTACATATTGCCATTGTGCACCTACTATTTTACATATTTTGGGTTTCCCGGCCACAGCAAAACATGGATTTTGCCATTTTGTCATAACCATATGGGCGGCAGGGGGTATCATTTAGTGAGCTCATTGCTCACAATACCTCTAGTTTTTTTTTTTTTTTTAATATTTTGAGATAACATGTAAAAATGAGTTCATGCAATGAATGCGTTACGAACATAATTATATATTAAAGATTTTGTTGATAAAAAATGAAATATGTAAGTAAGTGTACCTTTAGACAACAAAATCTTATTTATTCTTAAATTCTTTTGAATAAAGAAAATTAAAAATATTTTTAGCTTAGTGAAATTTGTAAATCAAATTGTAAAACTACTATACAGAGAAATTATAGATCAAATGTATGGCATAGTTAGTAACGTGCTTTATTCAACGGATGTTTACCGCCATTTCCTGATTATGACAAGAGGCATATGGCGGGTGGGACCAGTCGGCAGGGGATCCTCGCTTCACCGTGGCATTTGATCCCACCTCTGATGCTTTTGAGGTCCGTGTTGCTCCACTCCTATTTTGTAGTGTTTAATAGACTTTTGAGCTAAAAAAAATTGTTATCGCCATACTGCAAATTTCATTGACAATTTTTTTTGGCGTGAACTCATTGATAATACAATAGCCTACAACTGTATTCCTTACCATCGTGATTCTAAACAAAATTTTAACGTTTAACACCTCATCATATATTACACCGTCAAGGTTATAACACTTTTTTGATCAATCTGTCCTTTCTGACATATTTTATTTTATCAAATAAACTCTGCAAGATGACTATTTTCATATTGCATTGTTTATTTGATAAAATAAGATATGTCGATCAGAAAGGACAAATCACAAATAATCGTTGTATAAATTCACATGTATCTGATAAAGATGTTCCTATCCGAAACTCAGTCATCCTTGTTTTCTATATAATGTGCTTTGAAATGTAAATGCTTAACATCTGTACAATTTAACTTGAGCGGCAATATGTCTTATTAACTGTAAGTAGCATAAATAAGAACAATAAGTCCCTTCATTTATAAATAAGAAGTGGATTTTGAAATACATTGCCTGTAGTTGAGTGTTTTTGCTATAATGCTGCATGATTAATCACCTCTAGGTCCCTTGTTTTATGTAGGTCTTATACATCACGATTATAAATATACACAGCATTCTGTTTACGCATCAAAAAACATCATTTGTTTCATATGAAGACAGGACATAAATATCATTCAATATGGCAACAATAAACAGGATAATATTGTTTCTTTTATTGGGACACTTTTGCTCAGGTAGGTAACATACAGTTACGTGTTACATTTCACGGTCTGGAACTTGGTCTGGGACTTGGAAGAAAAATTCATCACGTTTATTATAAATCTTTGGTCTTACATGTAAATTACCATTAACACCAATGTTCAAAAGGCTTGTATTATTGAAAATATATGTAAAAAAAGTTTGCTAAACTAAGTAAGGATTTTCACCCATTAGTAATTTTGCAATTATCACTGCATGATGTGTTAGAGGCGGTTATGTTGTCATCAAAATATGTGTCAAGGGCCTCCTCTGCATATCGCTTTCTTTCTTAATGAGTCTACATCGTAACATCTTGAATCTCGGCATTATGTCCTTGTACTTTGAAAGATTTATGCATTATAAAAATTAAAGTTTGTTATTTATTGGATGGGCATTATGCAGGTAAATATTCTTATAAATTGACATTCTTGTTGTATTTAATATCGTTGCTAAGACACAATTCATGTGTTTAAAACAAATCAGATGATATACTTTTGTAACATTTTCAAATGAAATATTCAAAATCCACAGCTTATACATGTAATTCATATTTTTGAATGGTGCTTAACCCCCGAATTAAACAACGCATTATTATTACATTAGGAGGAGTAAAGGTCATGTTTCTGTACAGTGGTTTTCAAATTACACGATAAGTGCCAATAATAAGTGCATATTACATAATAAGTGCAATCATTTCACAATACACACAATTAGCAGGAATGGAAATAATTCAGAATGAGTAAGAAAACAAAATGGGTTCAACTTGTAGCAGTTTTCTAACACTTACGACAATAATTATTACTGTCCAATTTGTTCTAATACATTACACAATCACAGAATGCATCAGAATACAGACAGTAATATTACTATTCCCGATCAAGGTTCAAACATGTATGATGTTACTGTTGAAATCACTTTTCTCTTGGGATCAAATTTTCGAGGTTTGAGGAAAAATATTTGTTTGTAAGGATTCGATTTCGTGGTCGGTTAATCTTTGGTAATGATGCAATGCAATTTTGTGGTGGTCATATATTTGTATGAATCAGAAAATATCTGGACGCTCTTACTTAGTAAAAACGAGTAAAGTGAAAAGAAAATGATAGTAATTATGTTTTCTCCCTTGTTAATGTTGTTAAGTTTTCTGACATCGCACATTTTGATGGTATTTATACCCGCACTTTCTAAAGAAAGTTCGGGTATATTGTTGTTACTCATGTCCGTCCGTCCGTCCGTCCGTCCGTCTGTCACACTTTTCTTCCCTGAACTCCTCCTACATTTTACACAGTAGCTTAATCATCTTTTAAGAGATGGTTGGTGGTGTCA